AAGCCCATACTTAGTCAACTTCAGTCAAAGGGAAAAAAGCCTACATTTGTTCATAAGCTGTTCATTTCTGTTATTTCAGAATGAAGGATTACCTTATTTTGGCATGATTGTTAGTATGCCAGAGATGTCTGAATTAGAGTTCCAATTGAGGGGGAGAAACAGAGGCGGCAAACCAGAAAGGCAAGACAAGGTAACATCCTTCTTTAATGAACATAAATAGGTGCCTTCAAAAAGAACGTGGCACCACTGGTAGTTATTTATCAAAATGGAGTTAATGGCTTTTGAGACAGTTGGTTCAACACACCATGACTATCCAAGCATGCGGAATCATCATCAAGTTCCATTTCAAGCCTCTTTATTCAAAAGAGCTACAAGGGCCACAGAGTAGTAAGCATTACAAGTTCTGCTGTGTGCATATCATGACCCTTATAACAACTGTATTAGGGCCAAATGTGCTGGTAGAAACTAATGGATTATATACCCTATGGGAGGGCCCCAGTGGTGCTGTAGCATTTTACCATGTAGCCTACTAGTCAACTCCAATTACTGCCTCCAGTATTAAGAGAAGATGTCACTACAAAGGTTATCTTTGTGCTTTCTACCTTGAACCCTAACTCCCTATACATGCTGACACTGTCTATGGTATTTGTGGAAGTGTCTGAATAAAGCTGATCACCAGCAGCTACACTTACAGTTCTTTCCAAAGAGGGAAGTAAAGACAATATGTGATTCTTTGAACCCAGATAGCATTAAATTGTTGAGGGCAGCCCAGCACGGGATTTGAGTCTTTCTAATGTCAGTACCATTTTTTTTCTTGCTCCAAACATCTGGGATTTAACCCCAGCAGCTATAAAGAACATAAGTACTTTAGAACAAGCAACAAGAATAAAGAAGCAACTAGGGGTGTGCATTCGGATCTACCCAAGCCAAAAATATACTCCCAAAAAACCTTATTGGCATATATCAGTTTCCCAAATGTATCCAGGTTTGCTCTGGGAAACCGCAAAAAATCTGGGATATACTTGGGAATTACCGGTAGATCCAAAAACAGCAGAGACGCAGAAGCAGATTGCTCACACCTCTTAGCTGTTTGTCGGGCTTCTACTGCAGTCCCTTTAAAGTGCAGGGTCAGGCTGGCTCTTTTTCTATTGGTATTTTTTGGTTTGGGTCTATTAGACTTGAAAAAATTGGGAATTTCCAAAAAATCCAGGATCCAAATATAATACCGGTATTGGAATCCGGGCTTTTTTGGAAATACCCCCCAAAAAATTTGGCCTGATAGACTAGAACTGAAAAATACTGATTAAAAAAATTGCACACCCCTAGAAGCAACCTATGAAACACCGTGGCTGAATGTTCAAGGGCAGCCCCCC